TTGTGAAAATTAACTCTATCTCAGCCAAAAAACAGGACATGTGGGTAACAGTGGTTTTCAATAACTTATCGAATGCTACAAGCACTACATTTGACAACTTGAAAATTATTAAATCCATTTAGTACTCACTAAATTTTCTCCCCCAAGTATCAACAAACCATTCCTTGTCCTGGGAATCCTATAATCCTTTTTTCACAACCACTCCAAAGGTCTCAATTTGCAGGAACTTTACTTCCCATGTTAACAGATCTGAATGAAGCTGTTTACAAACAGGTTTCCATCAGCACAACAGTCAGAAGTGTCACCAAAGTCCAAGAATTGGTAGTGGAGGAAAAGAGATGTTTCTGAGCAGGATGTTGGTTAGATAGTTACTACATCGAATGTATCAGAGGGTCATGTACTTTGATAGTGTCAAAGAGCACAGCATTGTAAGTGCTTATTAGCAATGTAAACAAAAAGAATCTACTAAATAGGTGTGTATATAAGCAGCCATCAAACACTTCAATACCATGTTTGTGGCTTATTTCTCCCAGGAGTTTAAAAAGAAGTTGCCAATTTTCACCAACAAACAAGATAAAGTATTATTTAAATAAAAGATACAATATTCTGTACAATGTATTCAATTATTTTCTTTTTCATTTTATCATAAACACTGAAACTAACTTTTAAATATATTATATGCAATACTAAGGCCTCTCACAGAGTGGTGCCCTCTGGAGGCTAGGACACAATTTATTTGAAACTGCAGTTTAAGTTTTAAAGTGTTCTTCCAAAACTGTAAACTTCAAATCTAATGCAAACAAATTATGGGTAAATTATACATTGAGAAAAAATTTTGAATGATAATACTTTTAAGTTTTCGTTCTTTCACGTGTATATATATATATTATCTTAAAATACAGTATCTTTTATTTTTTAATGATTACATTTTAAGATGACTATTTGAAGTCAGATTCCTGCTTTGCAACATCAATTTTTAAAAAGCTGTGGGTCTTAAGTGAAGGAATGTAAATGAATGCAATTCCCCACTGGTAGATTTGAATATATAACTTGTTAGTTAAAGAAAATAACTTGTAGTGTAAATGCCTGGAGAAGTTATTTCTGAAATAACTTCCAAGAGTCGATTCCACTCTGTACCTTTATTCTGGCATCATTGCCAGATTTTTCTGTTTTCCATTGTGCCTCCTGCTTCCTCAGTTTCTCCAGGTCATTTAGCAGGTCAGCACAGCATGTATTTAATCCCTTATTTTCCTCCTCCAGGTTTTTTATAACCAGTCTGTTTTGCTCTTCCTTCTTCCGTGCACACTCCTCAGTGTCCTGTAGAACAGTACCACAAGGGCCGATAAACAAAAAAAGTGAGAACTAATCAGCAAATATAAACTGTGCAGTTTTACCCTCGCAGCAGCTTCTTCTATATTTGATGGCCAAGGTCACCTGTGTACTTTTATTGGCCTCTTTCATGCAGGTGGAAGGGTCATATTTTTTAGCTGGATGACAGCTTTGATGAGTACACATTTGCAAAGAGCCCATTAATTGATCAAGCTGCCTTTGATGCTGTCCCCAGCTATTTTTGAGACCCACACAGACATATCCTCCCAGACCTCGGCTTTATCAATTAATAATGCCAGTCCCATCAGAATCTAATTACAAGAAGCCACATCTTCACACTCCTACTTTCTTTGCTCCATTTCCATCATTAACTATTTATCTGAAAGTTATAAAGCCTGGATTCTTGGCTTTAAAGCATCTTCCTCGGAGTTGGTATGTGAGAAAATGGTAAGGTATAGCAAGGCCTAAGGCAATTTTTTCTCCAAGCTTGTCACTTTCTGTGCCACAAAGGCTGACATTGCTTAAAGAACTACTTCAAAGCTACAGTCTTATGAAACTATGTACAAGTCAATATACCTTAAGTTCTTGGCTTTTATCTTTAAATTTCTGGTTCAAGTTACTGAATTCATTCTTCAAACGGGCATTTTCCTCATCCACAGCATTTTTTCTCTGTATTAAGTTGTTTATCTCCTGCTGCTGCCCTGTAAGTCTCTATTTAAAAAAAAAAATCTGTTACTAGAAAAAAAGCAACTGTAAAAGAACACGCATGTACTGGATTTTTGACCTGTGCATTTTAGACCTATGAAATGTTAACAATTTGATATATGTAGTTTTATAGCATTATTTTCATTTCATTGTACTTTAATCATACTCAAAATTGCATGAATATATGACACAGTAACGTAAATGAGGAACTGAATATCTTGCTGATACTAAACAAGAGAGCCCATAAATGCAGAACTGAAGGGAAATTATTCAGTCAAGCTTAGACAAAGATAGTCATTTGCAGAAGTTATATTTGTGGTTACGAATTAAGGATACATTAGAATACTGTTTCACTTGCACTTAGCATATCAAAAATCAAGCCAAAAAGTAGAGTTCAAAATTCTCCAGAATTCGTAAAAATAATGAGAAATAACTACTGAGGCAACGAAAAAGATTATGATACAAAATAGTCATAAAAAGGGAATTAAGTCTAACTGAATTTGTAGCTCAAGGAAAATGAGCAGAGTTGTATTATCACAGACAACAGTTCAGTGTACCCAGACATAGTAAAATCTCACTGCGAGCAAAAAAACAATTTCAACTTTCTGTGTTAGATATTTGTATTCTATTCTTATGGCATTCATATTAAAACACCCTACCTCTTAAATGCATATTAGAACTCTTCATTTTTCTTCAGGAGTTTGTTTTCATTTCATGTACTGTTTTGTCCCTTCCCTTCCTAAATCAAAATGGCATTTATCTAAAACATTTTCCTGGCAGTAACACTGTAACTGTAGTAAGAAACAGGTGAAACTTTTATCTCAGGACAAAAATGCCACTGCTTTCCTCCGATACACAGGCTAAATGAAATGTGTTCAGAATCATTAAAAGATATCAACAAGATATCAACCTTTATATTATTCTACATTACTGCTAATATACATAAGAGCTTTCAACCTACAAATGATTAAATCTGGTTCACATGTATGTCAGACATGAAAAACCCATGTAAAACAATACATTTGAAGTCATATCCAACAAACACTGATTTTAAACTTATATGTAACAATTAGGGCAAAACAAGTCACCATTGAACTCAAAGTAACTCACTCACAAGAAGAAACACAGGTATTACGGATAGCAGCCCTGCATACAAAGCAAGCTGGGCAGGGGTAAGCCCCTGCCCCATGTTAAACAGCGTCAGTGCGTTGGCATCCAGAGCACCCACACTGCACTAGGAAACCATTCACAAAGCGATAGCCATGGAAGGATGGGGCAATTTTGACAATCTGTTTAGCAGGTTGAATACCAGCTTCTCTGCACGCTCTTCTCCCTACTCTGCACAAAGAAACTATAACAGAGCACAAAGTAAATCTTCTCTGCCCTTTCCACTGCAGTATGTTGTAACATTTGACAACTAGCTTAATAGGCAATAAACTATCTTTTTCAGTATTACCAGAGTTAAATCATATAAAAAGCACTTAATTTCACATATTTGATTATAAGACTAAGGCTGGCAAAAATAATTTCTTTATGAATTACTATTTAAACCCACTAGTGAGCTAGTAAGACATGTGAAAAATATATTTGAAGATTAATTTCACTGCACATCTATGTATTAAGCAAATGTCTTAGTCATTAAAAATATATGTGACTTTATTTATTTGTGTGGATTGTATGTTTCCCTCCTTGTTTGTTTCACTTTTTACTTTTTAACAGAGACCTTTATTGTAACTTTTTCCAAATTACTTCGAATGTCTGCCTCTCTTATGTAGACCTCTTCACTTTTTCTACACATCAAATTCTTACCTTCCCCTCAAATATTTTCATTGTTCTAGCTCTTCTCCTACCACCATCTCCAAATCTTTTCTATACATTGTTCTTCCTTTCTATACATTGTTTATTTAGTAAACTTATTTTATGCCTTTGACCACTACTTCTATCCACACACGTTGCAAATATGGCAACATTTCTTACAGAATGAAAAAAACTCCACAAACCACCATACCTCATAGCAGAAAATGTGTCCAAGCAAGAACAAACCC